ATTAATATGATGATTACATAGCGTTTTTAAAGGTTGATGGTATCATAGAAAACAGTTTAGATGATTCACTAAGTAGTTATCTATAACAAATTTTTAGTAACGTCCGACCAAATTCATACATTTGATGTAACCGGCTTGGTGTAACAAATAATATCGTTCAATGTGACAGTTTTAAACCTTTACCTCTTTTTTTATTAAAAGTCAGCTATATTATCACCCTACAACATATCATCTAACCAAACTACTCTTCTGGTCCGCTGGAACCAACTATGGCCGGCTGGCCTTTGGTTCATGGAAGCTATTTATTTCTTAGTAGAATAAAAATTCGTTGGTTTTCAAGTTTTAATAGAATTAAAAGGCCAAAAATAGTTGTTTTAACATAGGTTTCTATCATGTCCAGTATGTGGATGTAGATATTTAATAAATTTAGCATGATAATAACAGTACTTCAAATACTCCAAAACACCAATTGTTCGTTTTTTGATCATTTTCACAATAAATAAAATACCAAAATGTATAGTTGACAATTAGACAATTTTTATATTATTTCAATAAAAGTACACCATAATATAATAACAGTCAATAGATAAAATAATACCTTGAAATAAAAGTAAATTAAATGTATTTATATTAACAACGTGCTTTATGAAAAGATGTATGTGACTAATCATAATAATAAAAAACCAATGTGTGATTAGTTCACCTAAAACGAACCTGCGGAAAGCGTTTTTTGTTCGGAGTGACATGAAAGAACAATCCATATATTTATATCCACAGTTTATTGAATATCTATTCAATCCAAGTGGCAAATATAAAAAGTTTTGGTCACATTCGGAATAACGACAAGCCAAACCAGTTTTAAAAGTCCTTAGAGCTATCATTTCATATACCAACTGCTAGTGTATGATAATTGCAAACGATGAAATCGTTAATATATAAATCAAATATTTAAGCGAGAACCACAAACCTTGATTAGATATAAAAAATGTTTTGCTGCTCGACGATCAATTTATGATCGAAGAAATTCACCTTGGTGCTTTTATAAGTCATCTGTAATATGCTATCTGACCGAATAAAACATGAAACAAATTTACTTAAACCTGTAACTTTAATTAAATAGCTAGCTTTCATCTTTCTGCTACTATCATCTCCGTTGGACAGACCGTATTAAATTATCCACCTGTTAATACCGTCGCATATGATAATCCATTGTACCACAGAAAACTTCTTTTCATTTTTTCCTCAAAGGTTGTCGCTTTCAATTCGTTTTTTATTCTCTTCCTTGTGCTGTGCCAACACTTATGAGTGGAGTACGAAATTCATTTGGTAGGGGTTTATCACCTATATTTAGATCAATTGGATGTTTTGATTTGAATTATACTTTGACAATGGAACTTTGTGGTTTCTTAATAAATCGTCTGAGATATCTTTACGTTTTAAAGACTGTTTTTTGCCTTTCTTCTTCCTGAAACTGATGGTTTTGTGATAATGGTTGTGAGTTAACGTGTGTCAGACACGAATGATCGTTTTTTTTTCTTATTTTTGCTTTTAAAAGTTTTTCTACAGATAGAAATGATAAATCGCTCGACTTGGTGTTACCTAAACTGCCGATATTCGGCTTTAGGTCCGATTACTGGTTACTTTCTTGTAGATTTTTGGCATCACCTACATTTGCTTGTGTGTTATGGTTGACTATGGTTCCTTCTAGTGGTTGTTCGGCTGATGATTTATTTGGTATTATAGTCGAAAGGTATTCTTCTGTCGTTTTCTCCTTCTCAATCAAATCATCCATCTCTTGTTTTAGCAATGGGTCTTTTGTCTCTTTCAACAAGCCGTCACAAACATTTGAACTGTCTTCAACGTCATCACGCGATGAATATACAGTACCATCATTGTTTTCGTGTTCTTCCGTTTGAACTAACTCTACTGCGCTATTTGTATTTAGACTTAATGGTT